AGCAGGGATATGGCAGCAAGAGGTAATAGCTGGAATTGCTGCATTATTTGTCTCTCACGTTACAGTTGAAAATACCTAGTATTCCTGAAGTGTGATCATATTATTGGACAAAAATGGAATACCATAACCATCAAGAGACCTATTGAAATGAAATAATTGAAATGAGCTGCATTCAGCTGAAATCAATAGAATGAAGAACACATCTTTCATTTGCAATGTATCTTGGAAGAAAAAAAAAAAAAAGCATTTACCAACAGCAGCAGTATTTAATGGTCTTTTAAATCATCTTTTGGAAACCTTCTTTATTGTTTTGATCTGAAACATCATTTAAAGTAATATCCACCTCCACAGAATCCCTTGAGGCAATTATTGGCCTTTCTGATCTTGCCTTGCTGTATTAGTTCTGCCTATGTGTTTGCTTTATGTGAGCTTCCAGAAGCAATTTTCCTCAGAGAAGAAAATGCATAAATCCTTGAAGGTTAACTTGTGAGAACTCTGGCTTTGCTGGATGCCTAAGGAATTTCAATTGCCTTCTGAAACCATCCTGTCGCTTTAAAAATAACCCCCAAAGCCCCAAGAAATCACTCTGCCTATGAGTCGTGTTTTCTCTCCCTTTCAAAGTACATAGAGTTCTCTTTAATAGGAAAGTATTTCTTTTCTCCCCACTGCTTTTTGTGATTATCCCTGCCTAATGTCACATACTGTCTTCTGTGGCCATTCCGCAAGTAATGCGTTGTACCAAACTGAAGTTCTCAGGAGAGAGGAAAGTGAAATTTTTAGGAAATAAACCTCCTATTTTAGCCCTCTGGTTCATCAAGGTATATAAATCTCTGCCTGCATTTCTGAAGTCCATGGAAGCATCATTCTCCATTTAACATGTCATATACTGAAATAAAAGAATTAAAGGTTCCTCAGTGTAATTTGAAGAAGTAGGCTTTAATACAAACAAAAGCATCTTTCTCCTCACCCCCCTACCCACCCCCCGGCACAATTTGAGCATGGAGCTTGCTGCCGCAGAATGTTGTGCACATGCAGAATATACAGGGGCTTAAAAAGTGAAATAGAGAATCTCACAGAGAAGAGGTGAGCCGCTGCTGGGGGGCAGTGGTCCAGGGGGGACCTTTGGCTCCGAAATACCTGCAGCTGCTGATGGCGGGAAGAGGGGTGGGATTGCAGTGTGTGTGTGTGTGTGTCCCGCCTTTGTGTTTAGGAAAAGGGTATCTCCTACTCACCACTTCTAGGGATGCGGTATGGATTAGTTGATATCTTTTTGTCTGTCTTTGTGCAGCTTCCCTTTGTTTTTACAAACCATGTTGATTATAAGCCTTATTGCAAGTACGATTTAATTGCATATTTTTCTGCTGATAGCTGCGTTTAAATATAAATAGTAAAGTGGTCTGGAAACCCAAATCCTGTCCTTTGATCAGTAATCCTGGATAATTTTCTGTGTTTATACACAGAAGCGGTAAAGGTGACTGCCTGCCTTCTCGCTGTTAGTCAGCCAGCTTCAGCAGCAGGGAAAGCTCTCGCCCCCCCAGCACATCCCAAGCTGCTCTTCCCCAGCTCTCTCCTGTGGCGCACATGACAAATGCAGATGAGATGGGAAGTGATTGATGTCCAAGGCACTAAGATGAAAGTTTTTATGCATTAACTGCAAATTTGAAGCTTTCTGTATTGCTGGAAAATGAGCACAGGCCCTTCCTTTTGATCTTAGCTTCTTAAGTGACTCTTGGTCATTCTTCCCTGCCTTGGTGCTTTCCCATCTTCTTTCTTTCTCTGCCTTTTCCCATGTGTTCATGTAGGTCTAATGACAGCATCAGTCTCTGTGCCAGGGTTTGCAGCCAGGGTCTTAAAATGTCAATGTGCTGCGTATGCCAGGCTGGGGCTGAAACTTAATAGATGGGTGTCCCTTTGTCTGTGTATACTCAGTCCATAAAGGATGAGGGAATAATAATTAAGACTTGGAGGAAATTTATTTAATACAACCTTCTGAAACTGTCTCAGCTCGTCTGAATTTCTTCGATGCTTATCTGGTCTTGATTGTACCAGCACATATAATTTGTTTATCCATGTATTCTTCTGTAACTTGAAGAAAATATAATCTTCGATAGCGTTGAGATTAAAACCTGTGATTTCAGCCTGATCAGATTTGATAAGGCTATAGCTTCCATTGAATGCCCACATCCTAGAAATAAATTTTTATTAAGCAAGCCTGCTAAAAAATGAAGTTAAGAGATATTTATTGTGCAGAATAACTTTATATGAAGTGTGAAACAAGGATTTTTTACTACTTCTTTATTGGAGAAGGCTTAACCATGGCAGTGCTGTTAATGCCTCAATAAAAACTATAAACCTCTTGAATGAAAATAAGGCTGCTGTTCAAAAAGGGTTCAAGCTGCAACTTGATGGTTTATGTAAGCAAAGTCCATCAACTGAATTAAATTCTTCTACCAACTCCAGGCTCCGTATTTCCCTATGCATTACCTCTTAGAGGAATACGTAAGAGCTGTCCTAGATAACTTAGGGGCTTGATAGCACTCTGTGAAGTGAGTCTGGATCACTTGCCTAAATCCCAGCTATGCTGGTAGCAGCTTTATCAGGCTGTCGAATGGTCTCTGCAAGGTGCACTGGTGAAGTTCAGGACAGGATGTGCCTGAAAATTTACAATTATTTCTCTTGACCGCTTCCACCATCAGAAGAATTTACTCCTGGTCACAGTGAGACATTAGGGGATGCACCCAGTGATGTGTAAGTTCACATCCCTTGGGAAAGTTGGCTTCTAGTGTTGCCTTTTGGAAAAGGAGGAGCACTTTGAAGGGTCTCCCTCTCTTCTTTTCTTTTATTTCTTCAGATGGAAGGTACAAAGGAAGCTTTAGTTCTTCATTTATAAACATGCTGATTTAGCTAGAACATAAGGAGTTTCATGCTGACGCAAATTCAAACAAGTTTTGCTGGATGTTTGTTATTTTGTATTAGATGGCTGACAAAATTCCTGAGGAATGCCTGGAAAAATGCCTCGAGTTATCACTAGGGCTGTGTTTCAGAGAAACACCCAGTGTGGTAGAATCACTGCAAAAGATTTTGCTGAGTGATAAATCAAAAACAAGGCTTTCATAGATTTTGGGTGTTTCCCCCACACACACTCTTCCTTCTTCCAATATAAGCTATTTTGTAGCACTTAAGGACGAAAGTAAATGTAATAGCTATCAGTCAATTGTTTTGCTTTCTTTTAAGAAAATTAGGGAAGATCAAAGAATTTCAAGAAGTCTGTAATTTTAATCCAGTGGTATAAGATGCTCCCTTGGCTCTCTGATTTTAGAGTACCGTGGGAACAACATATGTGAATGAGAACAAAACTGGATGTCTTTATATGATGCTTAAGCAAATGACACAAAGGCTATTCAGTAGTGAAAATAATTTTACCAGGTAATGAAAATAAGTCATAATGACTTAATAGATGGGTGATTTTGAAGGGTGTTTTCCTTTCTTCAGTCGTGTCTATCTCTTCTTTTAAGTAGCATCAGTTTTAGGCTGTTTGTTCTTGGGCTACTTTTCGGGGGGATTATTTTTAATGATTAATGGCTTGTTACGATGCGGTAGAAAAAAAGAATGTGCATATAAAGCAAAAGTAACAAAATAAAATTGTAGCTTAGATAACTATATCTATTTCTTTCCTCTTTTCTTAGCTGTGTATGCCCAAAGGGCTGTCCTTCAGGACGCAGGCAGATAACAGAGATCCACAGCTCCATTCGTTCATCATCACCAGAGAAGATGGCTCCCGTACCTATGGGTTTGTGCTCACATTCTACGAGGAGGTCACAAGCAAGCAGATCTGCACAGCCATGCAAACGCTCTACCAGATGCACAATGCAGAGCAATACAGCAGCGTTTGCGCCTCCTCCTCGTGCAGCATGGACTCCCTGGCCAGCAGCATCGACGAGGGCGATGCCACTTCCCTCGCCAAGCTCCAGCGCTACAACTCCTACGACATCAGCAGAGATACTCTGTATGTCTCCAAATGCATATGCCTCATCACCCCTCTGCCCTTCATGCAAGCCTGCAAGAAGTTCCTGATCCAGCTCTATAAGGCGGTGACATCCCAGCAGCCGCCGCCTCTGCCCCTGGAGAGCTACATCCACAACATCCTCTATGAGGTGCCCCTGCCGCCCCCGGGGAGGTCGCTGAAGTTTTATGGGGTTTACGAGCCCATCATTTGCCAGAGACCTGGGCCCAACGAGCTGCCGCTCTCTGACTACCCACTGCGGGAGGTCTTTGAGCTGCTGGGCCTGGAGAACCTGGTCCAGGTTTTCACGTGCGTTCTTCTGGAGATGCAGATCCTTCTGTACTCACAAGGTGGGCATTCGTCCGGCGATGCGCGTTGGGTCTGTTCCCAGTGGGCAGTTCCTGGGCAGCTGCAGTCACGGAGGCTAATAGAAAGCTGTTGATTTTCAGTGGATTTGTGAAACGTGAGCATGTTATGAAAAAATGTGAGAGAAGTTAGTCTGTCCTAATGAAAGCACTAAATAATTGTTTCCTCCAGGCAGTCTAGATGCCGCTTGTTTAATTATGCATTGTATTTATCACTTGTGACAGCTAGCAATAGAGTTCACTTAATTATTATCCTTACATTGCCCTTGATCATGCTGCAAGACAGCATGAAACTAATCCTATCTTCTGCAAAAAATACCAGCAGAAAGTAATACATCTTGCAGAAAACACTCTTGCTACTTTCTTTTTCAAATTCCAGCAGCGTATTGAAGTTTGGTGAGATTTCCTCCCTCCTGTATGATGGATATGTTCTGGTTAAAGCACTGAGAGTTTTTTTAGCACTTAGAGGCTGAATTTTTAATGCTGGGTTGGAACTGAGTGGAGTTACAGGGCATCCCTTCGTAGTCCTACTTGAGATATTTGGGAACTTTTCTGATAATGGTGCTGGTACTTCTTTTTGAGACACTTAAAATTGCCATTGGCAAAGGCTAGCTACAGTGGCAGAAGTTGCTTGCACAGAGCCTGTCCACGTCGAAGTATGCCAGCAAGCTTTTGGAAACCTGGCCTGCACCTTTTCTCCTCTGGTCGTGTCTTTCTGCAATAGCACAATACTCTGCTACAAGTTTTGGGAATCTTGACTTAGCGCTGGGCACGCTCTGAGGTTTTACACCCATATTATTCTTTCCTGTATGATGTTGGTTGCTGTGAGTCTGGCCCTGGTGATAATTTGGGTACCAAAAGGTATGCACTGCAGCTGTTGCA